GCTACAAAGACTGTTAATTTGCAGCTGTATGCTGGCTTTAGGCAGCCCTGCATGTACAATACCCTGGGCTGCCCCCACATGCAAGGGGCTGTGCACAGGTGCCACTGCCAAATTGGGGGTCACATGCATAGAACCATATAAGCCATGCCCCCTGGAATGCCTCTCCATGCCTTCTAATAAGACTTTGTGTTTTTATATGGTGCAAGTCTTAAAGCACAAAGATGGGTAAGATCTGTTCTCATTTTATAGGTGGGGAAACAGAGGGCTTGTGGAGCAGCTCTGGGGCTGCATCCTCACTAGGAGAAAAGATCAGAACACACCCTGAGTTAATTAACTACAGGTAAAATCCCAGTGAATACCAGGCAGTTTGTTTTTCCCCACAAGCTATCAGGTCAAGTTACAGACTATGTTTAACTCCACCCGCTAACTTGTACGAGAACTGCAAATTGTTGTCTTCTCTAAGATTTTCTCTCTAGATAAGAATGCACATCTACCACCTTTGTGAAGACCAGGCCCATGCATCTTCCAGCCTCTCAGAATGGGAACTATGGCCCAGATCCTCTCAGGTGTTTAGGTGCCTAATTCCCGTGGGCTTCTGTGGATGATAAGTGCTGAAATACCTGGCACAATCTGGGCCTATGATCCCATTTCTGGCCACAGGTTTTCTGGGAGGCTTCTATGTGCTGTCTCCGCCAGAATTAAATATTCAGGCTGGATGTCAGTCTGGACCCTTCAGGCAGTGGGGAGCCCTCCCGCCCCCCCCCCCCAAGCCATGAGTAGAGTGCAAGGGTCTGCAAACAGCACATTGGTTTGAAGGCTCTGAACCTTAATTTTTAATATCGGGAATTCCCTTTTCTATTGTACTCTGACCTAAAATCTCTGTCTAGCGTTATTACTGCCTCACGCTTTTCTTTTTTTAATGTGGTAAGATGTTTCATTTGCCTTGGGCATCAGATACCGTGTTAGGTTTAAATATTTTGTTGCTAAAAATGATGAGGGTGCCCAGTCTTTCAGAAAGGGGCAGTGGAAGCAGAGGAACTCTAGGAGGTAGAGAGGCACCTGTTGAAAGAATGGCAAGTGTAGGAGAAGAGACTGGCACTGTGCATTAGAGGTGTATAAATAAAAGACCTGTGCTCCCAGGTAACACTAAGCAAGTGGGCAAATGCTTTAGCTAAAATAAAGGTCTTGTTTTGCTGGATGGTGATGCAGTTACCATCACCATCAGGCGCTCCATCCCATTACATGTATAGCAGGTGTGATACCACATGCACATGGAAGCTTGGAAATAGCTGCTGGTACTGGTACATGACTTCTGCTATAAAACTGCCTGGGGTGTTGGCACTTAAGGGAAATACATTCCCTTGGGGGAAAAATCTTCGTCCTATTGAAGCACCAGGGGTTTGCTAGTGACTTCAGGAGGGCCAGGCTTAGACACTTAAATTAAATACTTGTGGCAGTTCCATTTCAGACATTTTCCCCCCCCACGCACATTACGGCATGTAGACAAAATGGGGCCATGGACGTGCTTTGAAATGTTAGAGTTCATGTCTCAAATTGGGGGTGGGGGTCGCAGCCAGTTTTTCTCTAGGACATGCAAAATGATAGTCATGCTTCGAGAGGCCACATATGAAAATCTGGCCCCCAATTTTTTTCACAGAGCGACCAAGATGGCATAAAGGATTCCTAACTTACATGTTCCACACAATGTAATAGCAAGTAGATGCTAAGTCAACACCTGCTCAGTCTCTATAAATATTTGAACACAATATTTGTAAATGTGTGTGTCGAATGTAAAACTGGGTTGTGTGGTAGTTACTGACCCCACCATAGCTTTATTTAATTAAATGAATAAAACCCCTTGAATGTAACTGTATTTGTAGCAAGCTATTTACACCATATGGTTTTGTGAATGAAAAAATACTAATATTTGCTCATCTCCAAAGCTGAAGACTGAATTGTGCCATCAGTAATGAGCAGAATTCAGTTTCATTAGAAGATTTTGCTTAAATATTGATGGCACAACATGTGCCTAAATGAAGGGGGAAATTTTCAGTGTCTCTCTAAATTACATGAAATAAAAACAGATGTTAAGACTTATTAGACAAAACCTCCATTAGCTTCAGAAAGTGTTTTTGGCTAGGTAAAGATCTTGTGATTCAAAGTTGTTCCATTATATACTTTTAGTCCTCGAGTTCTGAATTTAGTCCTTCATGTAACTGAAGAACATAACTCTCGTTTGAATATGTGGCACTGGCAACAGCCTTGATGTCCTTATAGCAATTAGTTTCTGCAGGTTGTGTGGGTAAAACAAGACCCTACAGCAGGGGGTCCCAAACCTTTGGTGAGGCACATCTTGGTAAGGTGATGGTCTTCAATGCTCATCCCCTTCCTATTCCCCACAGCACAGACCACTGACTTCTCACAATTGTGTTAACCATTCTCCCTCCCGTTCATTAGCAGCTAGCCTTCCTGTGGCAACATGCAAAAGTAATGGGAAAGTGATGCATTCTTAACTGTACTTTAATAAAATTACCAGCTGGAACTGTCTAGCACAGTTTGAGATCCACTACCCAGTTATTTGCACATTTTAGAAACCTTATTCACAGAAACACAGGGCTATGTTGCCCTCCCCTTTTAAGTAGAACTCCCAGACACATTTCAATGGGAATGGCACAATAGTTCCAATATAGGGCTCTATATCCCGACAGATTCTGATCCCCTTACCCACATCGAGTAGCACTTTACTGTGAATATACTATGTTGAGAACTGCTCGATGATCCAGATCTTCAGCAGGCGTGTGATGAGATCAATGGAGCAACACTGATTTACGCTAGCTGAAGAACTGGCCTGGTGTGAGTTAAGGTATTAGAATCCTGCAGTTATTTTAACTAATATCTTGGATCTAAAATTGTTTTCTTGTTTTAAAGAAGAGATTATGAAAGCCTGGGCTGTGAATGGTGTCTTTGGGTCTGATTGCTGGTGAAAATGGGAAG